ATTTTCACATCCGTTTTCTACAAATTTTTCGCTTTGTTTCCTAACTTGTAGTGCATAAACAGTTTATCGGTCTGTGAAATATAATACTTCACAATTTGTCCCCCGGTGGGACAGCGGTAAGTCTTCGGATTTACAACGCTCAAATCAAAAGTTCGATTCCCCTCGGTGGACACAACAGACAACCTGATATGATTTTTGCTATAAGAAAACACGAACACTCTTCACAATTTAGCAGATTCTCATAAAGCAACATACCATGTAACGTGAAATATGTGTAATTGAACACTTAACTAAATAGGCTTAGTTTTAATCTAAATTCATTGTGCAAACAAAAACTCGTGTGCCTATAAAACATATATTTTAAATATCAAAAAATATAACAGTCACTATAATAGAATGTTCCAAAACTACTGTCATTTAACTGGCTTTCTAAGCAATGAATAGGGTAAAACAAATTATGTTACTGCTATGAGCAACAACTTCGCTTTCACGTGCATCAGTTGCTTCATCTTCACTAGCATCTATTGCCACCAAATTAAAATTAATGGTTGCAAGCTTAGAACAGAAAACGAAAACATACTCCTTATATTGTTTATAAACATATACGTCAAATAAGAACACGTGGCTTTAAAAACTGCCTTGAATGTCAAGGATAAATAGATGAGGCTTCTGTTGTGAGTTGGAAACATACATTAATATTTCAGCAAATGGAGAAGTTATGACATTAAAACTAAACAATTGACTTTGTCATTATCTATAGTTTGGGTTTATATTAATTAGGCACTATAGAAACTATACTTGAAGTTATACAAACTACAAAGGGGAAAATTGTGAGCACATGCACATCATGTGACAACACAAGTGAAAATTGAGAACTTTTTTATATTCCTTTTCAAATTAAGGTATTATAACTCAAATACTATACAAATTTGGATTGTAAATTACTTCCTGATGCTAAGTTTATTGACATACGCTCATAAGAAAGTTGCTAGATTAAATTTTTAATATAACACTGTAAAACATCATGGCATGCACAGACAACTGGCACTATGTGCAAATATTTAACAAGATTAAAACACAAAACAGTAAAGCGTTTTATAGATAAAACAAATTTAATTATAGAAAAATAACCCTTTTTTCAATTAATTGCAATAATAATAAAAAGCATGAAATCCATACATTATCTGTATTCAGGAGCTGTGAATGTATAGCTAGTGTACATGATTACAGGTTTTATTCTATCCTGAAACTATGATAACACTGTACTGATTTCATTATCCCTGGCACCAGTATCCAGTAGTAATTTGCTGTCTTGTTGTGGATATTCCGGCATTGGAACATCCACTAAAGCATGCTCCAGGAACCAGAAGGCTTGAACACATTCCTCACTCCATCAAAGTTATTCTCAATTTTAACAAGAGCGGGTGATAGTAGTGTCCATTTTAGACAAGTTGGCCACAGATCATCTATAATACAATGCAAAACTGAGGAAATTGCAGACTTCTTGTGTGGCCACAGGTTGAGGACAGTCTCTTAAACTGCTATATTAGCAGGATATCTAGAGACTCCATTTTTACTTATAATGTGACCAAGAAAACCCACTTCTTTGAGCAGGAATGCACATTTTGCGGGGTTCAGCTTTAATCCTGAATTATTTATCTGCTAGAATCACATATTCAGATTCTCAGCAGAGACTCAAATGTGACTCAAACACCAAAATATCATTGATATAGGCCTGACATCTCCTCCATTACAGTCCTTATTTTTGTATAAGTTCTGTTAGCCTCTCAAAAGTGTTCTGCCTGTTACACAAACCAAATGGCATGATACAGAACTCATAAAAACCATCTCTCGTGCTGAAACCAGTCTTAAATCAACTCTCATCATCCATCTCAACTTGCCAATATCCAGATGTTTGGTCTAAAATGTTGAAACAATGAGAACCTTCTTCATGTCCTAGCATTCACCTGTTTGTGATAAGAAAAGGCAACACTGCAAATTATTGCTTTCATCCATCTAAAATCAACACAGCATCTTGGTTCACCTTTCTTCTTCCTGACAATCACTACCAGAGATGACCAAACACTCTCCAAAGGTTGTGTGCCCCTATAGTGACATCATTTATCATTTGCTGTTGTTTCTCCTGAATCTGCTAAGTCATGATCATAACTGATATCCTTGGCTTCTTTGCTTCTGGGAAAAGTCTGGCCGTTGCTGATTCTCCTGAGTTTGCTGAGCCATTCATTAGAATCAATAGCCTTGCCTATTTTGGTGTACATAAGAAGGGTGATCTCTAACTGCAAATTTCTTTCTCTTTAGCAATGATCTCGAAGTTACCAATTTGTACCTGTTTATGACAGAAACTGCCTTTGGTAAGGTACGGGTATCACTTACACTAAGTAATTCCTCATGATCTTAATAGAAAAGTTACCAATGAGCTCATCGACGAGTATGTCTTCATGATCTGTTTAAGCCATTGCAGGGTAAGCTTTATCATTAATAAGGCACAGATGATCCACACAAGTGGTCAGAATATCAGTGGCACTTTCTTTCTGAGCCTAGGATTCTGCTCAGTGGATCACTCAATTCTTTAATTGGTCAGCACAATTAGGCTATGACTGTGTCCCAGTCTTTTTGTTGCACCGCATTCAAATACTTGATGGAATCCAGGGCTTGACCATTTAAGCTCAGGATCAGATGTTGCCCTGCCTGCTCCTGAGTCTAGCTGTTTCATTTGCTTCAGAAAATGGTTCAAATCTGACTTCACCATACTCTATTTGGCTTCATTCTTAAGAACCCTTGAGGGTTCTTGGACAATGCATAACTGAGATGCCTCCAATATCATGGGTACATATTAGTAGATGTATTCAGGAATTCCACCTCCAGAACAGTAGAGTGATGAGCTACTCTTGGCAGCTCATCCTGAAGCTCTGCATGACCTAAGATTTCCTCACTAGCCATGGTTGTCATGGCAGGATACCTCCTGCCTCAGAGAAAGTCACAACTTCCCCTTGATTCATGGTATTTTCCACTTGGTACCCACTGCCTCATCTGCTGGGGAAACAAATCTATCTGGCAGGTTCATTCTCAAGCAGCATTTCTAGTTCTTATTACCTCAAGTGATCTTGACCAGAGCTAAGATTGTTTTGTTCTGGATGATGATGACCTGAAATTCTTGGAAAAACCAGCCATGTGGTCACAAACTCATCTGACATCACTCCACCTAGGCAACTCTCAGTCACCCATGCTTCTCTTGTGCAGAGATCGATTCTTAGAGACAATGTCTAATCTGCTATTCTGGTACACAGGATGCTGACTGATCCTTCTAAGTCTGCTGGTGCAGAGAGAGAGAGAGATCGACGTCTTGGACTTTTGCAACATTAGCAAAAGTCCTAATTCCGGGAATGGACTTCTAGGCTCAATGCTCCTCTCATACAAAAATCTCTCTTCATCGGCAAACACTCTCTCTTAGTTGTAAGTAGTTCTACATGCATAAAGTGTCATTCTTTAAGTGAAAAGTGATCATTTAAACACGTTAACACAAGAGTTAAAGTAAAAGCAGTATGCAAGTTAGTAAAAACATAAAACTCCACAATAAAATTCTAAGGTCACAGCACCAAGATTTTTCCTTGTATCTATTCTGTGTTATTCTCAGGTTAAAAAGCTGATTTTCACAAAGAGTATCCAATATATCCTTTTTATAATGTGAGGATAAATCACTAAGTAATACTGAATTTATCTAAACTCACAGAGTTAAAGCTAAGAAATAAACATACTAGATACGTTGTATGATACGTGATGAAAACAGTATTTATTTAATAATACACAATCACAGTGTGCATACTTGTGTTGAACACTGGACAGTCGTATTTCACTGGATTCGGTAGTGTACCTGTTTACCTACTTCTAATTTGGAAGATATGGCATTTACCCACTTCTCATAGAAAAGGTAACCTAAGTTCTTACCATGTCTGACCTGGAGCATCAAATAGTGGGTATGCACTATTTTATTTGCCACTCCACCACTGTGATTAACTCATTTTCTTCCTTCGAGATATCTTTCCGTCACCTAATTCACTTGAGGTTTCCTGTAGTGCTGTTTAACGGAAACGTCAGATTTGCCCATGATGTTCATCTGACTTATCATTCTCAATTAACATAAAGGAGGCAGTAACCTCGAAATGTTATCTGGCATATCAGTAAATAACACTGCTATCGTCTACATTCTGGAACAATTTGCAGTGTTAGAGCAGAGCAAGTATTATCTCCACAGAATAATAAAGGAAAAGGCATGTAAAACGAAAGGGTTTTCTTGGCCAGATGTTATGCAAAATTTGCATAAACTTAGAATAAATGAAAAATATTGGAAATTTCTACATTAAAATAAGAAGACTGAAACGTGTGAGATACCTGCGTACCATATATTACACGTAAAAAAACAGTTAATCTAAATATTTCCAAAAATCAGTTGATAGGGTTCTGTTTAATAAAGTGTTTTGCAACTTACAATGCAGGGTAATAAAAAGTTAGGTTAATTTACTCAGATTGTTCACAGTTACTTATTTAATCTTTAAAAAATCACGAGGTTGCCAAATAAGCTTTAGAATGGTTGTTATATTTTGTAAACATTTTATTTCCTAACAATGGAGAAAATTTATGTTCAAAATAAAAATGAAGATATCACCTTAACGAGTTATTAAAGTAAATATTTTTATTTTATATATAAAGTTTTTAAAGTTAGACAAATATTTGTGTGTACCTAATGAGGGGTCTTAATGAGTCTATGGACTTACAATGCTAAAATCCGGCGTTTGATATCCAGCAGTGGACAGAACACAGATAGCCCATCATGTAGTTTTGCGCTAAAACAATGACAACAATAATTTGATGAGGTCGGTGCCGTAGACATCGCAACAACGTTTCTTTTAACAAAAAGTATAATAAAACGTAATTTAATTTCTTACTGCTAGAGGGACAAACCAAAATGCGCAAGTGCTTTTGCGGTATACTAGAGTTGTTGTTTTATCGTTTTGTATTTACAGTGTTAATTTCTAATGAATGTGATATTATTACAGACACCGTATCTTACATCACTTTCTAAATATTCTGAGATTTCTGGTAAGTCAAAATGTCAGTTAGAATTTAAGCTAACAGATTGTTTTATTCTTTATAAAACAGCGAATTTATAAATTATAAGCATATTGATATAGTGATACATTAAATGTGTTAAAAAAGTCAAATGACTACTGACACTGACAGTACACTTCATCAGTAAAACACAGTAGCGTGCAGGTAAAACTAAAAACAAAACGAAACAAGTAACAATTGATGACAGATAATACGCCGATATTATTGTACCTCACGTAAAGTACCATAGTTCAGTTCACGTGTTTTATTCAGTTATTGTACCGTATTTTCCATAATTTATATGTTACAACTTACACTACAAGTGCTCTACAGATTGCACTAAATTTGCTTAACTACTACTACTACTGAGTAGTAGTAGTGCTACTGCTGGGCACCAGAGCCATACCTCTTTCATAAAATTACTTAATTAGATTATTAGGAAAACGCGTATGTTCAAAAAACAATATAAGACAAAAATACAAAACCATATTACCGAGCGCTTTCAAAAGGTGAGTTTTTCTTCATCAGGGGCAAGCTGGGAAGTGCTGCTAGTGATACTCGTAGTCATACTCAATATAACGGTAGCAATAGTACTCATTAGTTGTGGGTTTAGTCAGTATGTGATATCAGTATTATTGAAATGAAAAGCTATTCTCAAGCCACATTTTTTAATATTATATAATTCTGTAATTATTAGATAGTATAATAAAAGTTTTTTTTTTGCATAAATGGATATATTAAATCTTAGCAACAACACTGCTTTTAGTTTTAGTGTCCAGCAGTGATCTCAGAATTTAAATTATTATTACTAAGTATTCACTTCAATTGTTATCCTAAAACTTGGTCTCATTTTTGGATTTTTTATTTTCTTGTATGGAATTACCTTTAGATATTAATGGTTTAACTTTCAGGCTTTAAACTCTATTCATTAAATTGTTTTCATACAAATGTTTAGTACAAGAATAACCCATCAACTTTGTAGATTAGAATAATAAAGATGTTTATATTTGCAACTTAGTAGTAAATGGTCATTTACTGATTAAGTCTATATATGGATAGAGAAAAAAATTATTAATTGTGAGACATCAAATCATAATGTCCTAATTCTCTACTTCTTTCATTAAACATAAAACTAAGCACTGAATCCAGTCCTAATTCCAAAAATATTAAACTTTTTTTTAAACTTCTGCACAGTAATTTGATCCACAATTATGAAACATTGGAGAAATATATTGGCTTTAACTAGAAATGTGTCTGACCTCTCCAAATCTCAAATTTATGACCTCTTAAGTATTGTCTTACTGCCTTCAGAATTCAACACAAAAATAATCTGATACATACATCATATTACATATTAATTCTTTAATACTTTTGAATACTTTAATCAAATCATCCCCTATTTTCTCTCTCTCTCTCTCTTCTTTTTTTTTTTCAAAAGAGGACAGGTTTCAAGGAATTTTATCCTCTTATGACAACCCATTCATCCATGGAATCATTCTGGTTCTAGTATTGGAGGAAGCATTTTTGGATTGATCAGGCAACTCAGAATAGTATGCAAAGCACACTTTTCCATGCAAAGAATGTCAGTGCTAGGGGTTCTAGGGGCATACTCCCCTCAGGAAAGTTTTAAAAAATAGTTGCTCTGAGATTGAATTTTGTGCTAATTTTACTATAATTTATTGAAAGTATTAATCATTTGCAAGCACTTTATGATTCACAAAAATAGAAGCTCACCGGTACTTGTACTCACCATAGCTAGAGGCAAGCACAAGCATGTACACTTGTATATTATGCATGTAATTTATTATGCATTGTTATGCTGATTCCTACTACTATAAATCTTATCTATTTACCTAGAACCAGTTTAAAAAGCCCAACAGTTACTGTGACAAAATGTTGGTCTGGCTGCCCAGTCTGCCAGACCTGCTTAAGTACATATATAGTAGTACTCTTCTGAACCTTCTTCAATAACTGAGTATACTTCCTAAGGTAAGAGGACCAAAATTACACACAATACTCCAAATTAGGCCTGTTTTCAAATTTTACTGAACCATACTATGAGCATGGGACAATTTCACTACACTTGCCCAAATCTTTTGCAATAAACAGAAGATAAGTGTGTTTTTGCTAAGTTAAAACTATGAATTACATCAAATTTTAAAGTTTAAATTAAAAGTAGTAATTTTATTTACAGTCATGATATTTCAGTCATACTGTTTTAATTAGTAGTGTAACTGAAGAAAAGAATACTGACATAGTGTTGGCATAGTAATTCAAGCCATTGAAACAAAAAGTGTTCTATTGATAGTAGTAAAGCTAAAAGAATTTTAGGGTATATTTATTCAAAGAACTATTGACTACAAGTAAAAAGAAGTAATTATACAAATCTTTCATTAAGCCTCACTTGGAATACTGTGAACAGTTTTGGTCTCTCGTCTAAGAAAGGATATTGACTTATTGAAAAGAGTTCAGAGAAAGGCTACTAGGATGATTCTGGAGTGAAAGGTTATCTTCTGGGGATAAGTTAAGATCTCTTAACATATTTTTTGTTAAGAAAATCATGGTTCCTCCCCAGTAGCTCAACAGTAAGTCTGTAGGCTAATAACACTAAAAACTGAGTTTCAATATTTGTTATGGACACAAAATAAATAGCCTGTTATGTAACTTTGTGCTTAACAGGCAACAAAAAAAAGGAAATCAGGATGAGATATAACCTTATTAATTTTTACAAGGCATCTGTGGATCAATAAATTTGAAAAAGACAGGCTAGGCTCCAGTTAAGGCAGTTTTGTTTTGCTAAGAATGTGATTGACTTATGGAATGATTTTCTGTTAGAAGTAGTGGAGGCAAGCACTATACAAGAGTGTAAGATGGGAATCAATGAAAACTGAAGAGCTGGTTTAAATTTTTACATCTCTCAAGAGTGAATGTGTAAAAACAGCCTTGAAGGGCCAAATGGTCTCTTGTTGTTAAAATGTTACCCGTGTAATTGAAAACTGGTACATGTTCTTGTGATGTATACAAGTTCTTCATATAATCTGTTAATCTGGTATACTTGCACTCACTTGTACTGTTTAAAAATGTTTGTCATGGTTATTTAGGTTTTGTGTAAGTTTTGAATAATATATGTATTTTAGAATCTGGTCAAAGTAACTTTGAGTTTGAATAAAAATGTAATATTTTTAAATATTTTTCTTTTTTTATCCATTACAATGAATTAATTACTTTCAGTTCATTTCAACTAACTTCCATAACATTCTACCAGTTGGAAATAAGAAAGGATTTTTTAAATTACATTAACATGCAATGATTAGTCAATGCATTCTTAAATCAACCTTTACATATCATGGTTAAAAATAACACCTAACTAAAAATGCCATTCAATGCGAATTTAGTACAGTAAAATAATCAAGGAGCAAAATAAAGCTTGATAATATTCTCTTTTTAATATTAACCTTAACTGTCAGTAGTATACATAGCCTCCCACACACACACATGCAGCCCAGCCCAGTCCAGCCCTACTAATATATATATAAGTAAAAGATTCCATTGAATTATAATGTGAAAAAATAAAACCATGCTTTAAAATCTTCCATATAATATTATGGTTGGAATACGAAAATCTCAAGTAGTTGACTTGTATGGAGCTTCAAAGGTTGCTGTGCTGACCCTATTCACAGATAAGTCACTGCATCTGAAGAATATTAATTTTCTGTTTCCTACAAGTGGGCCTGTATGAATTGGATAGGTTTCTGAGCAAAAGAGGTGTTTTTACGTTTCACAAGATGACTTCATTAGCTGGTTCAGGTGGACTCCTGGGACCATAGTTAATCAAGATATTTTCTTAAAATACCAAATTTTACTTTGTATAAAAGAAAATTGGGACTTAATACTTACTGAACTATTTTCAGGTTCTCAATATAAGTCTAAATAGGTTATAATTTTATTGTATAGATCACTGTTTAGGTGCCATTTGGAGTATTCTACTCGGTTTGGGACTCCTTACCTTAAGAAAGAAATTGGTAAAGGTTCAAATGAGGGCTACTAGGATGTTTCCAGGGATGGAAAAGTTGTCATAGGAAGACAGGTAAAAATCTCTAAAATTGTTTTCTCTTGAAAAATTAAAGGAGATCCAATTGAGATGTTTATGATTGTGAAGGAAATTTATAGTGATTATGCATCAAATTTTTTCATACTTAATAGTGAGAATTATAAAACAAGTGGACACGAATGGAAATTTTGACAGGGTAGGCGTCATCTTAAGCTGAGACAGCTGTTTTTCTAATAGGGTGGTTGACCTTAGGAATGGATTGCTTTAAGGTGTGGTGTATACAGTAAGTTTAAGGGATGGCTTGATAAATATTTAAATGATAAGCACTCAATTTCATGTTTTTTTTTGCTTTGATTTTATAAAGTTTAGTTTAGAGAATGGAACACCCTTGAAGGACTAACAGGCCACTTGTTTTCCTTAAATGTTATATTAATCTTATTTAGAGAAAACTTTATGGAGTAATTAATGTGAGAGGACGTGACGAAGTCATTATATACAGTTTGGTCTACTTTTAAACCTGACTGAAGAACAGAAGCAAAAAAACCCTTCAACTCATGTACTGCACTCTTTAAAATCCAGTCCATAACCATTAATATAAATGTAATTGACTTCATTTTTACATTAAATTATAACATAAGTAAAGAAAAACTATGTTTCAAAAATTTTCAAAAGCATATCCAAACTTTTGGCAGGAACCAACTCAAAGAATAATTTATCTTTTTATTAACAATTTGAAGAAAAAATGATACTGCCTAAGAATAAGAGAAATTATATGTTTCTAGCATTTAAAATTTTTTTCCTCTGATATTTCAGTCTCTACTGTCAAAACTGTTCATCAGTGTAAGTACATCAAAACTAACAATCTTAAAGATCCAAACTTCTCCAGTTGTACTAGTTCTGCATAACTCAAAGGAATTGCATTTTAATCATCTTTACCTGCATCATCCAGCAACTCAATATATGTTTCTATAATAAGGAAAACGAAATAAAAAACAATAATTGTGAAGAAAAGTTAGATTATTATGAAAAAAGAGGAATCTAAAGCAATTGGAAGTTAATATTAATTATGCAAAGAATGTATTTGACTCAGTCTGTCTTACACAGTACATGCCTGAAGAGATCACCTAGTGACTATATTGAAGGAATTATGGCTTACAACACTGTAGTTTTGAATTTCTCTAAGCTAATTAAAAGATGAGTTCTGAGGTAGTACACCTTCATTTTTATTTAATTATTATTATGTTTATATTTTACATACAATTAATTTTAAAGTGGTATGAGACAACTCAACTAAAAGACAGAGGAAAATGTAACATTATTCCCAGAGAGAGAGAGACAAACTTTCTTTCAGTAGCTGGTGTTGAGGTCTTTATCTTAGTAATTAGCCTGTGGTTATAGCAATATGTAAGTAAATCTGTCACTTTATGCAAGTTATTTGATCAGATGTTTGTTCAATAGGCATTAATCATCCCATGTTGAATTGTAATCTCTTTGTCTGGTTGTAAAGAGAGCTGAACACTGATAGGGCAGATACTCTAAAAAAATGGGAATTTTAAATATTGCTTGAAACTTGATTAGAGCTTATAAATGTCTTGAGCTTTGATTAACCAGTGAATTTAAAAGTGTTGTATTTATTATTAAGTTGATTTAATAATAATTTATCAAATTAGGTTTTTACTTTCTGTTTGTTTTTCCCCTAACCTCTTGTGTTATGTTTTAAGTTCAGTTATGTCACATGTAAAAGTCTTGGCCAAGCATTTTTTAATTGTGAGCAGGTTTTAACATGTAAAAGTTCTAATAAACACCTTTTAATTTTGAAGAACCCTGGTATTAAAATTTAAATTATTCTTTGTGTAGAATAAAGGATTCTTGAAAGATTGAGAAGTTTAGTCTTGGTAGTGGAAAATAATTTAATCATAATGTAGTACACATAACTTTGTTGGAGTTTAATCTAGAAAGATTTTTGAATGGTTAATGTATTAAGAGTGGATTCTAAAATATTTTAAAACAAAATAATGTTTATAACAAAAGTCTTCCACAAATATATCAGTTGCTTAAGAAAACTGAACTTTTTTTAAGCAGTAAGTTATAAACACTTTGAAATTACATTTAATTACGATAATTTCAGAATTAAATATCATTAGAATGTATTAGTATTTTTAATGAAATATTGTTGAAAAATGTTTAAAGAGTTAAATAATTTGCAGTTAATATTATTTAATAAAATGGATAAAACTGTTTATTAGTCTCATATTACCGTGTATCTGTAAAATACTAAACTTATGATGAATAATAATTTCTTTAGTTTAAATTAGCTCTGTAATACATAAATTGTAGACCTGCTTAGAAATCATTATAAATTTTGTTTTGTTCAGTATGTGGTAAATAAATAAGTTAAAGTGAAATGTGAAGAACAGTAATGGTTACTTTTGTTTCATGACTTTACAGTGTCCTTTTATTATGGAAGACTACAAATTCAGTATGTGGTAAATAAATAAGTTAAAGTGAAATGTGAAGAACAGTAATGGTTACTTTTGTTTCATGACTTTACAGTGTCCTTTTATTATGGAAGACTACAAATTTCTTTTCAAGGTTGTTTTAGTTGGAAATGCTGGTGTTGGAAAAACCTGCCTTGTAAGACGTTTCACTCAGGTAAAGTGTGGATAGTTTTAAAGCTTTTGTTATTAAGATGTGAGATAACACTGTTTTATATGAATAATTGCCTAACATATTTCATGACCAAAACTATATTGAAACATGACAAGTCGGATGGGTCTTGCGTTCTTCTCTGGATACAGGCCTGTGATAATTTATCTCTGCATATGCTTATTCTGGTATGTATATCATATATTTCTTACATACTGTATTACCCAAGCCACACTGCACATGCACAGTCTGCCAACGCCCTGAGATATACAGTCTGGTTGAGCAGACTGTACATTCCGACCACCTATATGACACTTTATCACTATATAGATCCTTTGACAGTACCTTTCTGTGCTATCACTTATAGTGGGTGAAAAATAGTCCCTACTTTAGATGGGTGTAGTTTCTCATCAAGTGATGCTCCTGCTAGATCTTAACCCCGTAATGGGTGATGATGCATTCCATAAGTTTTCTCTTTCTGTCACAATAACCTCAGAAGGGAGCTCATTTTTTAATTTTTTATGTACACTAGTCTCTTTACCATCCTCCACACTTTCAATGTGTGTCTCTTGTGCCTTATCAAGAATGAGCTTTTGATATACACAAAGTGCTCAAGGGGAATGATGTACATGGAGTATGCATCACCTTCCTGTTGGTGTAGGACTAATCTGATGATGATTATGTCATAGAGTAGCAAAATACATATTATTACATGCAGGGGAAAGAGTATTGCTCAAGGGCTTGACATGTGTGCAAAACGTTTTTGGTCGTGGTGTAAGGTATTAACTCTGTTCTACAGGGAGGTAATCTATTTGAAATACATTTTCAGGTTAGGAAAATATTAACTTCATTTCACAAGTCTGTTATTGTTATGTTACAATTTATTTAACTTTTTGAATGTTAAGATTTTTAACCATGCTGACAATAGTTGATTTTATTGAGAATGTTTCTTTTATGCAGAATGGCTTGATCATTATTAGTAAGGGAGCCAGAATGTGAAAAAAGTATTTTCTTTACTGAGAAGTGTGACATTAAGCATGTGATATATGGAAGTTGACACGAATTTATTGTGTGAAAGGAGCATTGGTGCTATGGAAAGAAAAAAAAAAGAGTAGGAGATTATGTGTGATTATTAATAAAAACCCTAAGGCTTTCCTCCAAGTGTTTAGCAGGGACAAGAAAGGAAATAAAATTTGTGGTTCAACTTACAGAATTTACTTATTTAACAATGAGGAGGTTATTGTAGCCTTATACAAAGTTATACAGGTTTAAGTAACGTGATGTGTACGAAAGGACTTCAACATTTTAATTTTTTCTCTTGGTTATAGACGAGCTACAGGTAACTTGGTTCAGGTATTCAAAATTATTGGGGATTTGGATTGTGTTAGTGGTCAGTTTGAGTGTCAGAATGGAAAATTGAAAATGTAAATTTGAATGTTGGAGGTAATAGGTTTAAACGTTTGAACCTTGGTGCAGACGTGATCTTTAACAAATTAGTTTAATTGTTGTTGTTGATTAAGTGTTATAAACTGATAGAATGTATTTCCTGATGATACAGTGTGTACAATTAATTTGAATTATTTCAAGCTTTTGTTCAATAGGTATATAGACATTAAAGCTACATAATGCCAAAGGACATGCACATGATTCTGTTTCTTATCTGACTACAGGGCTTACTCTTTGGTTCACAGTTTTTATTTATTCTGTAAATTTAAGGTATTGAGCATTCTTAAAGAGGACAACATTCAAAGCACCAAGACAATATTAGAAACACTAAGACAATGAAGTTTAAGATTTTTCTCAAATGTTTAAGTCATAAAAACATCTATACATCTATTAAATACTTAAATAATATTAAATAGTTTGTTTACTTCAAAATTAAAATAAGAATTATGTATTTACAGTAACTGAGCTCATTAAATGAAATGAAATATGGAAAAACATGATTTCAGAAATCTTCGTAGAAACTAACAGTTCATTGTGAATATACATTTGACTCTATATTTTTAACTATACCATGCCAGAATGTATTTCAAGCTTAGCTATTATTTCAGGGTCTGTTTCCTCCATATCAAGGAGCAACAATTGGAGTTGATTTTTTAATTAAGACTGTAGAAGTTGAAGGAGAGAAAGTCAAGGTAAGAAAATTAAGTGAAATGCACATATTATTTATGTAATTACATCTGCTGGACAGCTTAAATATAATCATCATAAAATATTAATTAATGACTGCAGAAGATGAAATGTTTTAGTCCATGTTAAAACCTTCAATAAACTCTGAACTGATGCAATAATTAAGTTACTGTGCACAATTGCATGGTATCTTTAATGGTGTCATAGACAACTATCGTATACTAAGCTATTCTATAATTTAAGATTCATAAGAAAAAAAAAACGTTGAATGTTAGGTCTGGGAATTTGTTTTAAGTCATTTTCTAAATTTAGACTTTATAATAAAAGTTGTTGAGTGATATTATGTGCTATCCTCTGTGATGGTTGTAATGCTAGCCAACATTTTCTTTGTGTGAGGTCAGTTTATGATCATCAACATGGGGTGAAGATATCATCAAATTCTTCATATTCATGTTCTCAGCTAGTTATAGAGAGTGTATGAACTGTTAGTACAGTTTTAGTGCTTTCAAATTCAACTTTAGACATGAAGGACATAAAATTTGACTTAAAATGGTGTCCCATCAGTGGTTTTTTTTTTGTTCTTTACCTACTGGCCCATGTTAGGAAGATATGTTTATCATCTTTAATTAAGTTGTTGTAAAATTAGTTTATTCAGATTAGTTTACTCTCCATTTTTATTGTACTTTACCTGTAATAAGTTTGGTGATTTAATTCAGTTTTCATTTGTTTATATTGTATTTTTACCTGCTTCTGGCCATTTCGTTTTTTGTCAGTCCTTATCAATCAATAAATTGTATTTTTGTTTACACTTCAGGTCCAGGCTTAATCTCTTTGATTTCATCTAGCAATACGCTACACGGTGCTATTCACGAAACTTCTGTCACCCTATTCAAAATATGAAAATATGCTGTCGGGTTTGTGAGGCTAACATTAGCTACATGGCACAGCACTAAAAATAAGGTGTAGTGTACTGTCTTACATGGTACATTATGTGTATTTATTAGTGTTTGCAAAACAAATTACTTGAATTTTTAAATTTTCATTGAAAACAAACATTTAGACATAAGATTCATTTTTTGGGATTTTAATGAAACAAGATCTAGGACAATCTGAGGACTTCAAGTCCAATGATTCAGCAGCTTGATGCTCGATTGATATGAGGGAAAAAAGAGCAACTAAATAATTCTTTTCTATGTGGTCGTTGATCTCAAGTAAGTTGTGATTAATTTCAGCCTTGAGAAACTTCATTCTTCATTAGCAACCATGATTGGCAACTTCAGAAGAATTCTCAATGCAGTATAGACATTTGAAAACAGAGATTATTTTATTCTTCTCTAAATACTCTACTTCATAAATGGGGCTCATTCTTTGTAGGATGATTATTGACACTGCTTTTTTTTTTAGTTCATCATAGGGGTCAAGCATTCTTAACTCTCTTTATTGTTAACTGTTGATCTGTAAAAGCAGTGTCAAGGTCCATTAGTTTTTGCACTACTAGCCCTAAGGAAACTGCATTGGGAAAACATTAGCTAAAATAAAGTGTTTTTTATTATTATCTCAATAATAACGATCAATTTTGTTTTCTAACTTTATTGCTAAAATATCTTAATCCTTCCAATATGTACTACAAGTTCTGAAAAAGTTACAACCACAATAACTAGAGGAAAGTTAAGATTGAGTTTGCAGTGAATCATTTAAGTGTAAGAATTGATGCAGGCTGGAGATGAATTTTAAAACATAAGAACAGAAACGGGTTAAGTGGTACAATATGAGGAAGAAAACAAAAACTTTGTTTACACCAATGCAGTTGAATGTGAAGTGATACTGTTTGATTTACTGTTTTTTATATCAGTTAATCCAACAGTAGATGAATTGAGCTTTAAAGCACAAAGACGACCGTACATAACTGACTCAACTATAAAGATTCAACCACACACGTGTCCAGTCAGAGAACAAAGAAATAATGCTTCTATAAGTTTAGCCAATCAAACACAAGATTACAAAATGACCACACTGTATTCTCATGTGAAGGTCACTTTCCATTAATACAATCCAATAATACCATAAGAACAAAGAGATAATGCAATTTTTTATGCTCAAAATAAAAGAATCCACAGTTTTTAGGTAATACTGTACATGTATATGACAGTATGAGAAGTGACATGTTCCTACTAGTTACTGAGTGTCATCGAAATTGATGCCTGAATGTACAGGATTACATTGATCAGTTCATGTAGTAAGAACTAAGAAGCATTTGTGAAACTTCTTACTTCTAAAGAAGGTTGAATAAATGAAATAAGATTTTATTTTCTATAATCAACTTTAAGATAGTTCACATTTTTAGTATGTTTATAAGGCTTTAAAAGAGAAAGTAACCTGGTGAAAGTACAGCTATATTGTTCATTTTGGTTACTGTATTGTACCTGAGATTTTAACACAACTTATCAATAAAAAAGGAACTATTTGGCCCTTCAAAGTTCTCTTTGCAGAAAAGTTAAAATTTGAATCTACTCTACTTTTCAGAAAATCATCGATTCGCCTCTTAAACTCCACTATTGCCAAAAGTAACTTATTCCATAACTCGGTAATCATGTTAGGAAAATATAATTTCTTAACTGAAATCTAGCCTAGCTGTTTTTCCAAATCTTAAACTTGTGTCCTTTCCTCATATTATCATCAGAATATAGCACAAAGAAATCAATGGCCTTTATCCTATTGATGAACAGTCTCCTAAATTTGATATGATTGCCTCAGACCCTTTTTTTGTCAAGTGAAAATGAGTTAAGAGATCTTAACCTATCTTTATAAAATAACCCTTGCATCTCTGGAATCATCTCAATAGCTTACCTCTGAACCCTTTTCAATAAGTCTGTAAAGTCCCAGATAAGTAAATATATTGTTGAAGCCAAAAGATTATTCTAGACAAAGAATCAGAGGTATTTTCTCTATCATAATTATTTTTCCTCTTTGTTTAGCTTCTAGTAAATATGCTGTAAGACTGCATTGTTTAAGTTAACAGCTATTTTCAGTCTAACAGTCTAATCTACTTCATCTAATTAACTGCACATTAATTTTCTACACTAAAAGATAATTTTATTTTAAGCTTCAGATATGGGACACTGCAGGACAAGAGAGATTTCGTTCTATTACACAGAGCTATTATCGCAGTGCTCATGCTTTGATTCTGGTATATGACATCAGCACACAACCAACATTTGACTGTTTGCCAGATTGGTTGAGAGAGATTGAGCAGTATGCAAACCCAAGAGTTTTAAAAGTGTTAGTAGGTAAGTTAATCCATCTTGACAGAGCCAGTGTGAAAAATACCATGATTTTGTTTTAGGAAAGATTTAATGAAGTTACCTGTTAACACTTATAATAATGATTTATTTTTAAAAAATTGTTTTAATGAAGTGATTCAACAACTACTGTAAGCTAGAGCTAAGCACTTAGTGGAATTTGTTAATTGAATAATTGTCAGACTTACTATCGATAACATTCAACTAAATGATTATTTTCACATGAGATGGCTAAAGAAAAATTATAATATTAGAAATCAGGTTTTGAAATCCCTGGTAGGCAGAGCACAAATGGCCCATTGTGTAGCTTTGTACTTAATAACAAGCATAATGTCAATATTTCTATTATTTGGATAGTTGCATTAATCAAAAAATGGTAATAAATGAAAATAGTAATGAAAGTCATAATGGCAATATCTTTATTACTGTATAGTTGGAATAATGTTAAACAGTAATAATTGGAAACACTGGTTTCCATTAGTTTATTATTTTCATGACATTAATTGGCTTTATAGTAATTTTTATCACTAGGGGTTGAAATAATTGAAAACAGTAATAACTGGAAATACTAGTTGATTATTTTTGGGACATTAATTAATTTAATTGGAATGTTGATTAGCTGATTATTTTACATAACACTAATTAATGTAATTGACTATATCGAATTATTCAACCAGCTCTGTTGTAAGATATGCCACATCAAGTGTAAAAAAAAAGCAGTAAAACAATTTATCAGTAACATCTGAACATGTATATGGCTAAAATATCATAAAGTAAATAACAAATTCATTAAATAAGGTTAACTTGGGAATAATGCTTTACTAATGCTATAAAATGACTGTGATGCAATAAATAAGGTAAGATTTCAAGTCCATCAACACTGTTTTAATTTTGAGAGTATGTGTTTAACTTGTAAAGTAAACATAGTAAGTAAAACTTACAATAAGTATATTGAATTCATTTGAATACCTTTGTTGTAAAAATGATTTTCACTATATTTGTACTGCAATACCATACTTCCAATTTGTTGTGATGTGAATTTTTATCAACAGATCCAAGATCAATTCAGTATGTAACATCAAGTCCTGCAGAAATTCACATTTTCAGTAATAAGTTTACACTTGATTATTCTAGTTAGAGCACAACAGCATGCTTTATAAACTTTTACCTCTTCAGTTAGTCAGTGTTATCTATGTCATGTTCAAATCTTTGTTATATAGTTTCTAATGAGTGCAGTTATTGTATACTTGGAGAGAAATAAAAACACAAGTTACAGTATTATTATAATGTTATTTAATGGTGCTGAATGAATACTTCGAACATTCAGATTTTAAAAAAATATGTTATATTCATATAAGAACTGCAGTGTAAATAATGAAGATTTCATTTTTATGAAGGTATGTATGTAAGGGATATGAGTACCAGAATATTTTTCGTTTTGTATAATTGTATAATTCTACCCTGCATTGGCTTGGAAAAAAAGGTCTTTAGTATTACTTTGGGTGTGGTGTTTAATATCATTTGACAATATTTATAGGAAATAAAATTGATAGAGAAGATAGAGAAATCCCTAGCCATATAGGAGAAGACTTTGCAAGGGCTAATGAGATGTATTTCATTGAAACTTCAGCCAAAGAGGCAGACAATGTAGAAAAATTGTTCATGGAAATTGCAGCACAGCTTACCCATGAAGCATTGGTCAGCAGGTCACATTACAATGGTATTTCTGGAGAAGTCTCTTCATCAGTTATTGAATCTAAAGATGGAAGTGAAAGTCAGTGTTGCAAATTTTCGTGAGGTGGTTTTTACTTGCTAAGTAATTTTAACTAGCCTTAATTTCTACAGTATTAGGAAGAAATTCTAACAGGCAATGTATCTTGAAGATATGTGCTTCCAAGTTGAAACACAGTCTTTGATTTCCTGATGGTTTGTCCTTTGTGTAAGTCAGAACTCTGTGCATAAGTCGCATAAGGTCCCTTAGTATTCTAACAGATATGTTAAAATATGTTATGGAAAGTTACAGCATTTCTGTAATGGTGCAGTGTTGTAAATGTATGCATAAGTTAGTTGTTGTGAGAAAAATTCTACATGTAATTTCCAAACATTATTATGACATTTGTGGTATAAAACTGTTTATTTGTGAAGGCTGTAGTTATATTGTGGAAAATATCTGAATGTGAGAGTTAATATTATAATATAACATATGCTGTTCTATAGAAACTTGGTCGAATTCACGTGAAATCCAGTGGGACTTGTCAACATTTTCCTCTTCTATGTGATTTTAATAGTTTGGATATTAAAGTATTTAATTGTTTCCCAGTTTTTGTTAATACCAAACCTGATTTCCCTTTGTACTTGATTATTAGTGCACATAATTTAATTAATCATTATTAGTTTATTAAATTCTAACATTCAAGTATATATATTCTCTTTCTCGTGTACATGGTTTTTGTAAGACCTTTAGTACATTATAGAATTCCACAACCTTTGACCAATTATAGAGCTATGTATTAAAGCACTTAACTAAGGATTTACTGTGCACTGTTTGTGTGGCATTGTATTTTTCTGTTTAGGCACAAGGTGAGTTGTGTTAAGCACTTGTGGTTTCTCAAGGATTTCCAGCTAAGCAGAAAAGTCCAAGTCTGCAAAACGGGAGGTTCACAGATCTCGTATGTAGGTGTGTTTCTTGACAGGTGCAACAGTTGGGCCACAAAGAATAAGACAGGAAACAGGTTTATAGAGAAACAAATATTTAATGGAAGTATTCACATTTTACAATGTAAACAACAATGCGCTATTATACAGTGCGAGACAATGCTACAGCAATACAGTTTATGGTAGGCAAGTCATTGTGTGTTTGGATATGCGACCAAAAAGGGTGTGAGACTAGTAAGAGCAATGAAGACTTTTGTGAAAAATATGGTCTTGCTAGTGCATGTTCTTCCCGTGTAACTTAGGCCAGCATATAAAAGAAAATGACTAAAAGAGAGCAACTCCAAGTGAAAAGGTTACATAATAAAGTTATCCCTCACTTTAGTCTCACAAGAGCAAAATCCAAGTTTCCACTTGAATTTGACCACAACAATAATAATCCAAACTTTAACTATAAACCTATGCCCCACTATCCTATAAAGCAATTTATACACAATTCACTCATGAACTTAAACAACTACTTAAAGGTGAAAGCCAAATGGCACCCACACAAATGAAAATGAAAGTTAACCCTAAAGTTACAAGAAAGCTTGAGGAGTTCTTGGAGAAAAATATTACATAAAAGTACTTAAGCCTGTTATCAACAATTGAAAGTAATAACTTTTAAAGAGTTCTCATGTAGAAGTTAAATTTGAAGGAACACTAGAAAAATACTATTTAAGTCTAAATGAAACTAACTGTTATTCTATGTAAATCTCTGTAAAATTTAGGCACAATTTCCTTAAAATCTGTGCCAAATCTTGATAAAATCTACTCTTTCAAGTCCCAACACTGTTTTCAATATGGTAATAAACTCTTGAATATTTGACATAAGAGAACAGTGATTGATGCTTGTTAGATCAGCCAGCCAACAGGCAGTGAAGATCTTGGGTGATTCCACCCACAACTACTGCCCTATTTGCTGACAATGATAACTCAACGTGCTAATTAAAAATCACATTGTTATTCCTGCAAGAGAATTAGAAGATGCCTAATCTCTATTTGGCCCAATTAATTCCTGGGGAAAGTTTGTCAGAGAAAAAGAAAACATTAGTGGTCTTAACTTTAAAAGAAGTAGAAAACATGTAGTACAGCCTGGTATTACACACTACAACAAAATCCTCTTGCATGAAAATTGATTACAGTGAATAAGTGACTACATTTAAATCAGTCAAGCAAGCAGTGGCATTATAGAGTTATACAGACACAAGTCATAAATACCAAAATGTTTGATTAGGTTATATAACTAGTGCCATCTAACCTCTCTGCTAAAAATTGCAATGCTGCTTAAGACACTGGATGGTGTGCTTAATATTGTGCATTTTACCATATGACTGTTTTCACTTACTTGACAGTTTTTGTGGTTTTATAATGTGTCAAAGATTCTACATGTAATACATATAAATAGAGTGGAAATCTGTAAATTGTTTTAACAAAACTCTGATAAAATACTTGAGGATAATTATTGAGAAAGAGGTTGCATAGTTCATACACTATGCTTTCGAAATGCTCATGAAAATGTATATTTTATTTTAAGTTCATGTGTCTATTTATTGCATTTTTACATCAAGCCTTAATTTATTGAATACAGATTGTATAATTTCAAGTTGTGACTTGATTTTACATGTTTGTTTTTTTATTGTGTTTTGTATCTGCTGAAGTTTTGTCTGAGGTGTATTTTTACTTCATCTAATAGACTGAGAATAAGACTGTAGCAGACTTGTCTTAAAGTTTTCTCAGGGACTAGTAAATTAATGATGAAAGAGTGATGCTTCTTTCTTTTATATAACTTATAAATAAAAAATTTTAGATCTTGGATTCTAAATTTTTTCAAGATCTTTTCAGAATGTACAGTATCTGTTGGTTCAATCATTTTTACTATTTTAAATGTTTTGTGTAAGTTGCTCAGGGGAAGTACACTCTGACTTTCTGCTATCTTTATTCATCATTACTGTGAAGTGATAAAATTTTGTATTTTAATCTTTGAGGTTTTTATCCGTGCATTCTATTTTTTTTTCTTTAGAATGTTCATCTAGATGGTTAGATCAACATACAAAATACACTTAAAACTTACTTGAAATTTTCCATCTTAATAGGAACTTTTGAAGAACCTAGTTTATTTTCAATATGTTAAAATAACCAAAAATTCCTTTCATAAGAAGTTATATAGTTTTTACATAAGATTTTCAGATATGATATTTATAAGCAAAAGGCAAAACTTCAAAGCGGTTATTTTCTGAAACTGGTCATTTTAAAAAGAACAAGAAAATGGATAGAACTTGTGACATATTTTTAGATTCCTGCCTTTTGTAAAAAATCTAAATATTTCCTTGTTTGTTTCAAAGCTTCAATAAACCTTAAATTGCTACACATAAGAAAATAGATAAGTAAATAAATTCTACATATGTTTGGATTCTTCAAACCACCTTTCGAATGTATGTTTCATGCTTAACATTGACACAGAACTTTTGTATAAAATTTTTATAAATATTTGATAATTTAATTATTTCTTTACTGGTATTTCTGTTAGGGAGTTAAAGACTCAATGCATTGAATCATATTTATTAATATATAATTATAGAATGCATTATAATTCTTCCCACAAATTCAGTTTTAATTATGACTATGGTGCATATGTATGTATGTGTACATATAGAAATATGTACTAATTAATTTCTTCATATGTGACTTATTTATTATATCTTTTAAAACTGTATTTAGTATTTTTATTTTAAATTTAAACATATTACAGTGCAAGTTCACAAAAATTATGTTGTTAGATTTTAGCTAGTTGTCTGCACAATTTAGTTTCTTGTGCATTGATAATGAATATTAACCAGGTAAAATATATCAAACTAAGTACTTTTATTCACTTTTCTTATTTAATGTTTTTCTTACTTATGTTTTTCTCTTAAACCTTAAACAGGTTGATTTAGTACAGTATAAAATACTCAAATTTTAGTACCAGTGTCTTTCATTATTAATTTTGTCTTCAATGAAAAGAAGAATTAGTGCATACTAAGGAATTTGAACCTATATATTATGAGAAATGTACACTGTATTCTGGATTTACATATTTTCATTTTCTCTGACATGAGCAGACATAAGTTACAGCAACATATACTTTAATAAACGTTTTCACAGAATCAAAGTGCAATCTTATTATTCTGGGTAATTCTTGTTGTAAACACTGCAGGATACACAAGCTGATACATTCCACGTGTTCTCAGAGCAGTGGTCAAGTCGGATTATTCCTTTGCACATGCTTTGTTGCTCTCAAGAGTATTGTAATAAAACAATTTCCACTTGAGCGAGGTTAATCAGATATTTTAGACACTGTCATGACTCTCGAGGGTTAATCGCAACACCACCAGTGTAAATATGACAAACAATAATCTATTAAAGACATTTTCACAAAGTAAACGCATATCCAATGACGTAAAGAATAAGTTTGCTCTACACATGTTTGTGCTTATGACCTAATGTGTGCGATGTACAAATGCATGGTAACTTTTTACATGTACATGTATTTTCATACCTGTGGAATAGAAATATTTCTTTGTTCCATTTATTTAATGTTTGTACAGTATACACAAAAATACTGCTTACATACATGTAACAAAAATGGTTTTAAATGCATACACCAAACAAAATGGGAGAGGGGAGGTCTTAAAATTCAGAAATTTAGTACAGTCAATATAAAATCCAGCTTCGCGTGGTTCGTTTTTGATATTAAGTGCACGTGGCACTAGAGGGCATTTGGACGCAGTTGGAATGGTGCCCTTAATGTTGAAGTTCTACTGTACACAGTAGTTTGCACATATGCTGATAAGTTTAATCTGTTGCATTTTCAGGTGTTACAAATTTGTCTTTAAGTGAATGAAAATACATCATGCAGTTAATTCTTTGCTGTGATAATTATACATTCCATGTTTTGTTTCTGAATTTATTAGTTTTGTTTTTAACTTTCATGACAGGATTGTCTTGCTGTTAAGCAAGTTTTAAGTTTTTATTCCATAATTCTGTGGAATCTTTGTGTTGTTTACAACTATCTACAGCTGAATTATGTATATGGGTGGATGGATGTGTATATATATATATACTGCACTAACTGTGCTTTATTTCCTTTTGGAGAAGGGGATTCTAAACACCTAATTCAGTTACATTCCTCCACCCATAAAGATTTTATCTTTTTTTTTATAAAGTCGTATGATGTGACTTTGACAAGTTAGTAAAGCCTATTTATGATGTGTTTATTTTGTCTTTTATAGTTTTGATCTAAGTTCAAAATATATTACTGATGACTAGAAAATATGGTCACTCTTCAAAAATGGTAACATTTTTCACTTGAATTTTTATTAAAATAAACTGTTAAATATTATTTGTAATAAATTAATTTATATCATCAATAATGAATAGTAGGTCCTGGTACTTTGAAATGAAGTTGTGGATTTATTGTACTTTGAGAAATGGGCAATTTCAAAGTAAAGAAAAACAAAATTCCAGATCTTTGTCTCCCTCTCCCCAGAAATTTTAGATTTTTCAGGTCAAAGGTTAATATAAACTTGATTGATTTCTGTACGTTAACTTACTAAAAGTATCAACTGACAACAGCATGAGATACATGTATTTTGGTAAAATGTAAAGTACATATAACCAGGTTGACAATTAACTATTTGTTTAAAGTAGAGAATAAGTTAATAAATGTTCTCTTGATAAAAGTGCTCTTAGTTATACTACCGTAGACAGAGCAGCCTTTGTAAAACTGTATTCAGTAAAACAAAATATTTGTATTGTAACACTTGCTGTTGTATTTCTTGGGCTTCTGTTAAACCTGCAAATGTGAATAAACAAAAGTTACACAACAAATAGTGTCAAACGTTTATGTTGATATCAAACAATAAAATGTGTTTCATCAAAATTAAAAACAAATAGTAACATGTTCTTTATGTGATTCGACTTTTCTTAGCATGTATCACAAAAGACCATTCATTAAATCTTGTTATATGTGATTATTTATGGATATATCATATTATAATTATCAGAAGTAGAATGTAACCTATTCTATACATGGTAAAACTATTTATTAAGATTTAAACTGGGTCCTCTCATTTCACAGAGGTATTATTTTCTGTGTAACAAAGTGAAGAATAAAAAAATAAAGGTGAGTTGGTTTTTATGTTGAGAATACAATTTGTAAACCTGAAAAGTTTGGGACATACTTCAAAGGAATGCATAATCTCAAAATTTTACTGGAAATTTTATAATTTCTTGTAAAATAGTAGCACATTAAATTAATAAGTACAAAATTCTTAAATACAACATGTGTAAAATTGAATAGTATACATTCGTTTTACATTTTTACATTTTGGTATCACCATCCAGTGAATACAAAAAATAATCTATTGAAATTATTAATAGTTTGTGAAGTATCAGCATGTATAAACACACATTAGATTAACTTATATTGCAAAAAACTGAAACAAATTTTGTTACTGCAAACCCATGGTAGGCCCATTAATAATGAAAGATTAAATATTGTTAGTAATAAACTTATTGGAGTGTTTTAGCACATTTCCATTTAAATAATTCCAAAATAAAGATTAAATCAATCTAAAGTTGAAGTTTAAAAAAAACTACAAATCTCAGTCCAAACAAACAACTTTCACAAAGTACAAGTTAATCACTCTAACATGGCTCTCAAGTTGAAGTAACATTACACTAAAGTGTGAAAAGGTTATCAAATTAATGCTGAAAAACAATCACTCTTAATAATGTCTTATTTTCATTCCAAAATAAATCTCTATAAATCAGCCTAAAATCGTGTAAACATGAAATTTTTTTATTAATCAATAAGCTATCTCTCAAAGAATGGATGAAAATTTTGTACTATCCAGTAAAATATTTTGCTTGGAATTAGGATTATTTGAAAAAAATAAAAATTTTAAAGTTATCAATAATTCAAAGAATCTCTTGCTTTTTATAGCACTATGGCCAGTAAGTTTCTAATAAAATGGAATGTTTTCCATCAATGAGGAAATAACTGAAATATTGTTTATATTATTATAAGTGGTAAAATTATTGAGTCATCCTGCTCTTCTGTAGCATGGTAAGTAATAAATGATTTTTTATTACTAATTTGAAACATATGCTTACTTTAGTGTGGGCTCTACTGGTTGGGCTGTGATGTACAGCACAATCACAGTCCTACTAGTACTAGTATCTACCTTAAAGAGTTTATTATGCATTTCTAATTAATGAAGCTGCATTTCTATATTAAAACTCCTTATATTCAGACAAGTAGGCCTAAAAGTTTTTAGTAAACAATCCAAATATTTTACCTGTATATTTGTTTTTTCTTTTAAAGTTGTTAACAGTGCAAAGGTAGGCAAAAATTATGATTTTTTATCTAGTTTTGAATATAAAACGGTATCTAATAATGTAAAAATAGTAATAAATAAATCCTTAGTATTTAATATATACATGACTGAACTGTATGTATTGTTTTTATCTAATTTTTTTAGGTTATCAGAAAAATGCAATCTTATTGCTGGCCTCATGTATTATGTGACAGATTTATTCATGTCACAAAATATTAATGTACCAATAAATCCAAATGACCAATCAACTATACACATTAAATGTTGGTGATTGATGCCTTCCTCAAAACTGGATCAAAGATTCTTCTCTTGAATCCTTTGAATGTTTGAAAATTGGAATGAAACAAATAAAAAATACCATAGTGACAATATATTACACTATATTTTGACCCAAGACATCCAGCAGACCATGTTTTTCAAAAATTGAAGAAAAAATAAAATAAGATACTGAAGTAGTGGAACCCATTAAGTTCATGAAGCTGAACGTATAGTGAAACAAACATGGAGAATCCCAAAAAGTCATAGAAAGTTTTAACTGAGAGAAAGTCTCAAGATAAAAATGAAAGAACTTAGTAATAATTGAAACTGAATCAATCCAGTTGTTACTACTAAAAAAAAACTTTTATTCAATTTGAAGCCAGCTCTGCTTTAAGTGAGGAATTTCAAAACCATGAAAGGCTTTGTATTAAGACAAACTACCCATCAACTACTAAAGAAAGCATCAAAGAAATGGAGAAATCAGCAAATCCACTGTGAATCAGTGAACATAAAAGAGGGATAAACGCATCATATTTCTCTAAAACTTATCAAGCTATCTAAGGTTCCATCAAAGCCTCTTCATCGAATGTTGTAAGGGAAAGTACTTAATGTTAAGGCTGTACAGTTTGGTAAGTAACATAAACGTACTGCTATAGTTTTATTATCTAGAGTTAATGGCAAAACAAAATATTAAATTACATATAAAAAATATTTGAATGTTTAATCATAAAGACTAC